GAGGTGAGGGTCATCTGGTTTCAGAGGTAAAATTAGCGAGAAAATGGCTGCCAAAGTTGAGATATTTCTTTAGCTTAAATCCGTGGAAATTGAAAATTTATATTTCTTCTGCCTTTAATCAAAGTTTTTCAGTAAAATCCACACAGAATTGTGCTCCTTAATGGTCATGAAAGGTGTTGGACCAAAAAACAAAAATGCCAATTTTTTTACTTTCATTATTTTGACGAGAGACTGATTTCACCACACTGCCTCACAATTTTAAAAAAATCTAAAGTCTACGGACACGTTTGAATCAACATCTTGTTGCATTGGTCCGTTTCTAAGTAGTAAGTACGAAGATCCGGGATGAAATTCAAAACACGCCAGTTTAAGAGTTCTGGTTTGTTTTATTAAGTGCCATAACAGCTGAGAAATACGCCCCAGATATCTAGATACACGATTTTGATATCATAACATCCCACAAAAACTGATGGCTGTTTGCTTTTCACATTTTTGCTGTCGTTACTCTTATCGATTTTCTTTTTTTAAAGGTAAAATATGCACATTCGTGACTTAGATAGCTTAGCAGATCAGTTATGTTCAGAAGCTACCCGGGAAAATATGTAAAATAGGTTCCGATTTTTGTTTTAAGTCAACATCTTTTTAAAAAAAAAGGTGAAACTATGAAGTTGTGTCAAGGTAGATCTATAGCGCGGAATGCAGTCATGACACGATACCGAACCCCACCTCTCTCTCTCTCTCTCTCTCTCTCTCTCTCTCTCTCTCTCTCTCTCTCTCTCTCTCTCTCTCTCTCTCTCTCTCTCTCTCTCTCTCTCTCTCTTGTTCTTCCCCCCTCTCATCCCTTGCCCCCCCCCCTTCCCACTCGCCATTCTGTTTTCAACCCAACTCCTACCCCTATCTCATTATATCAATCTTAACGCCCTTTAGTCCTAATTTCCACATCAGTCAGTGCACGTGGGTGGTTGGCGGGTGCTCTGGCATGGTTTGCTTATCCTTTCCTATCAACATCTATCATCCTTATCTCCCCTCCTTCTTTTTTGTATTTGTTACTCTCTTGTAACACCTCTAATCTTCGGCACTTATATGACCTTATTGTGTTGCAAGTGCCATAAAACAGTTACTAAAACTAAGTCATTGCCCCACTTCGTGTTGACTGTTTCTAAGCAATAGTGGCCACAATAACCCTGGCACCGTTCTGTAGGTCTGCATCTAACAAAGGTTAAGTGTACCCCCCCCCCCCCAAACACAGACACACTTCTCTAAAACTTTCTCCTTTCACATCCCTCCTGGTCAGACGTCGTTCTGATGTCTACTTTCGTCTCCACTTTCTGCCCCCTCCCCTCACCCCCTTTGCTCCCTCCTCTGGGCTCCTGTCGAACCTGTGTAAGATGGCCACGCATTGCCGAGGAGAAAAATGGCGTATAACTATAACTATAAGACAGGTGGTTGTCATACGCAGGACTGATCGAAATGAAGAAAACAAACCATTTACTTCTGATGTCTCAACTGGAGATGGTCGCAGGATAAGGACTGCAGTCAACTTGGGTAAGCATTGGAAGCAACCTAAGCAACATTCATTGGAAGGACGAATAATAAAGATAGGTGAATAAATTAGGACGACTCGTCCACAGCGTTAGGGGCCAATTCATAGTAATAATTTATGTTAAAGTGTCGTCGTTGAGAGATTAGCCATGATTTTTTGGTGATTTTTCTTTGGTTATCGATTGATAAAATATGATGGCGCGATCGCGTAGGGCTGGTGACCGTTTTGCACCATGAAATTATATTTTAAAAAACACAAGGGGGTGGAAAGTGGCTGTTTGGACAGGTGACCGTATTATACAGGTCATGGCAGGCTTGACTGTGCTTGCAGGGTCACCATGACCTACAAGGTGACCCCTTATTGTTGTGCTCAAGGTCAAGAAGGTCGAATTAATAAAAAAGAGGGGAGGGGTTAGGGTAATATACTTTACCGTTTCTCAAGTTTTTGTCCGATTCACTAGTCGTATCTTATCCTGATGAGAAAATTTGATTTGAAAATACAAAAACCTCCCCACAAAATGCGGATTATATCTCTTGCTGTCAAGTTCTTTGCTTTCTGTCACGTGATACATGTAACTTGTTCGGATTTCAGTTACATGATATTTGCTTACTCTAGCAACTCCTGATGAACGACGACGACAACGAAGAAGAAGAAGAAGAAGAAGAAGAAGAAGAAGAAGAAGAAGAAGAAGAAGA